TAGCTCAGTTGGTAAAGAATCCACCTGCAATATAGGAGACCTGGGTTCAATCCCTGGGTTGGGAAGATCCCCTGGAGAAGGGAAAGGCTATCCATTCCAGTATTCTGGCCTGGAGAACTCCATGGACTGTATCGTCCCTGGGGTCGCAGAGAGTCAGAGACGACCGAGCGACTTTCACAAACCGGTACTGCAAACATCAAATGGGGCATGAGTTTCTTTCTTTTAAAGGTTTATATATTTATGTGCACTTGTGGCTGAGCTGGGTCTTCGCTGTCGTGGTGACTTTAGCTGTAGCAGCGGGGCGTCCTCTCTAGCTGCGGTGCACAGGCTTCTCGTCTCGGGGACCTCCCCCATTACAGAGCGTGGGCTCTGGGTGCGCAGTCCTCAGCGGTTGTGGTGCACGGCCTCAGTTGCTCCACAGCAGGTGGGATCTTCCTGGACCAAGGATCGAACCGGTGTCCCCTGCGTTAGCAGGCAGATTCTTAACCACTGAGCCACCAGGAAAGCCCAATGTCAGTTTTTTACACTAGAACATTAACACTGTGAGTACCACCTCTTGCCCCGTCTGTGCCCGGGGAAAAGTTCAGCCCAGCCGGAGGGCAGTCCCCACCCATGCAGCGCGGGAGCCAAGGGGCCTCCTTCCGGCTCCAGCTCGGCGTGTCTCTCCCTCCTGTTCTGTCTGCACATCCCCAGGGAGGCTGCCTCTCCCGCCGAGCCCACCCCATGATGGGTGGACTCTGGCGTCTCCTGCTCTTGAAAGTTCACATCCCGGCAGCAGCCCACCCCCCCAGCCATGACCTGCCACTTCGGTGGATTGATTGTTCTGAGCGGTGGATGCCTCGCAGTTGCTGTCGCTCAGCTGTGCCTGACTCTTTGTGACCCCACGGACTGCAGCTGTCCAGGCTCCCCTGTCTTTCTGGAGCTTATTCGAACTCATGTCCATTGAGTCGGTGATGTCATCCAACCATCTCATCCTCTGTCACCCCCTTCTCCTCCTGCCCTCAATCCTTCCCAGCATCAGGGTCTCTTCCAATGGGTCGGATTTTCACGTTTGGTCCCAAAGTATTGCAACTTCAGCTTCAGAATCCGTCTTTCCAATGAAAATTCAGAGCTGATTTCCTTTAGGGTTGACCGGTTTGACCTCCTTGCAGTCCAAGGGACTCTCAAGAGGCGCTAGAAAACCAGGAAATACAGGGCTGGCGTCCTCCGAACTCCCTCCAGGAGGAACTCAGTTGTCAGCCCCTCCTGGTGGGGTGGGCTCCATCAACAGGGAAGACTGACTCTTGACTCATTCCGGCAGAGGAGACCAGAGGTCCAGCCCACACTCAGACAAAGTGTGCGGTGGGCCCTCGGCTCGGGCGGCCTGTTGCCAGCCCTGCAGGGTCCTCGGGCCCAGGATGAGCCTTTAACAGCTCTGTGTCCTCTGCAAAGGTGAAGCTGGGGGTCTGGAGGGCTCCAACGAGCTCTCTGTTCTCTGAGGCTGCCCAGGGCTGCCCGGAGCTGCAGGGCCCGAGGAGAGAGGCACCAGCCAGTCCTGGGAGCCTCTGTCAAGGGCGGAGCGGGTGGGAGCCCGCAGGGGGCTCTGCAGTGGCCGGGGCGTCAGCTCGGGCCTGGGGAAGCAGAGAGACCCTGCTAGTGTCCTGGCTCTGCTTCTTCCATGTGATGTTGGTGGGGAGTTAACCTCACCGGTTTCTTCATCCACACAGTAACGTAACACCACGCACAGCTGAGCATGCCCACGAGGCTGTCGTGACCCAGGACACGGTCCAACAAGCTGTGGGTTTTATCAACTACTCTTGTCGGTGATCATGGGGAAGGATGGCAATTCAGCCCGTTTCCCTGAAGGTTCAGTTCCCGTTCTTATTATTGGAGCTCTCTCTTGAGGAATGAGTTTTTGGACAGTGAGGGCCGCGCTCCCCCAAGTGAGAGGATGCTGGTTAGCTGGGAGGAGCAGACCAGATGAGGGGATACCAAGGCCACTGCACCAGCAGAGGGACGCTCCCTGGGGTCACGCGAGAGGCAGCCCTCCGTGTTGTGCAGTGCACAGCATGCACACCCGCACAGGGCAGCCCTGACCAGGACCAGCGTCTGGGACCTCCCAATCCTGGGCGCCAGCCGGGCTACTTCTCCTTCTGAGCAGGTGATTCCCCGACTCACAACAATAGCACCTTCTCTGCCAAAGACAAGACAATGACAAAATTCTGGAAACTGTGCGGTGCGGTACCAGGGGCCTGTTGGTATGACTATCACCTGTTGAACCTGAATGGGCACTACCTCGGGGGTCCCATGAGAGCTTTGCAAACAACTTGAACTGGTGGTGGGGGGAAGTGTGCAACGAGAGCGCCACGGTGTCAGAATTGAAGGTACGGGCCACAGAGGGCAGTGCCCATTGCCCAGGGCCCCTGGGAACAGCTCCCTCCACACGCACCGCTGGGGGCGGCTTGTCCAGAGCCCTCTCCCGGAAGGGGACACGGGGCTCCTCACTATCCTCACGGGAGCGGAAGAGCTGCTTCCTGTCTGCTGGGCTGGAGCCTCACGCTCTGAGCCACCAGCGACTTCCAGCCCTCTGCCCCCTGTGAGGATGAGAGTAACTGCCACCCCAGGTCTCACCAGGCCCGTGTTCTCGATGAAGACACTCACTTCCCCGACAGCAGGCAGATCTGGGCTGCCTTCGTCACCACCCTGCTCTGACCGCCAGTCCCGCGGCCCCTGTCCGCCCAGGTGTCCTCTGAGCTGAGGGTGTTTCCAGAGTCGTGGAGCAGGGCCCCGTGGGGACGCGTGCCAGTCGAGTCCCACCGCCCCCCTGCTGGCCGCACTGCCTTCAGGCAATCCCACGCTCAGGCCCAGCGGAGGGCTGGAGGCCAAGCCAGGTGACCGCACGTTCTAGAGTCTTCATGCTTGGCCCTTTGAGAGAGTGTCCCCTGACCCAGGCTCAGAGGTGAAGTGACCTGTGCGGGCCCAGGCCCCCGGCCCAGCCGTCCCCGCAGGTCCGCGCCGCCCAGGCCCCCGGCCCCGCCGTCCCCGCAGGTCCGCGCCGCCCAGGCCCCCGGCCCCGCCGTCCCCGCAGGTCCGCGCCGCCCAGGCCCCCGGCCCCGCCGTCCCCGCAGGTCCGCGCCGCCCAGGCCCCCGGCCCCGCCGTCCCCGCAGGTCCGCGCCGCCCAGGCCCCCGGCCCCGCCGTCCCCGCAGGTCCGCGCCGCCCAGGCCCCGGCCCCGCCGTCCCTGCAGGTCCGCGCCGTCCCTGCAGGTCCGCGCCGCCCAGGCCCCCGGCCCCGCCGTCCCCGCAGGTCCGCGCCGCCCAGGCCCCAGGCCCCGCCGTCCCCGCAGGTCCGCGCCGCCCAGGCCCCCGGCCCCGCCGTCCCCGCAGGTCCGCGCCGCCCAGGCCCCCGGCCCCGCCGTCCCCGCAGGTCCGCGCCGCCCAGGCCCCCGGCCCCGCCGTCCCCGCAGGTCCGCGCCGCCCAGGCCCCCGGCCCCCGTCCCCCGTCACGTCCCCGGTGGCCAGCCTGTCCTGGCGGGGGCAGTCGTAACACTTGCCCGGCCATCTGTGTCCCTGTCAGCCCTCTTGTGTCTGTTCTAGCTGCGTCATCTACTCAGAAAATCCAGAAAGGTCCCAGGTGGTTGCTCCTCGAGGTCCCTTAGACGGCTCCTAGCAGCAGCGGCAGCAGCTGGTCTAAGAAGCACACAGAGCCATGGAAGGTGCAGCATGTCTGGGGACGCCGTGGCCTGAGATCTGAGCCGCTGCTCCCGGAGCCCACGCCCACTCATGCATCTCCTTTTGCTGCCCGAGGGCCTGAGATGGGCCAGAGCAGGACGGAGGGGGCCAGCCTGGGGCGGGTGGGGGGGTGGCCTTCCTTCCCCCGGGCCTGAGGACAGGCCCACACCCACTCACCAGGGGCCAGACTGGTCCCCAAGACAAAACTGACAAACTGGGAAATGCAGTGATTCAACATGACGTCAGGGGTTCTGCCGCCACAACATTATCCCCATCACCTCTTCTTTCCCTAAAGACCTGCTCCTTAACCTCTGGGCAGGAGGGCAGTCCCTGCTGGGTGTGGACTCTGCTTGGGAACACAGAATGCAGCTCTTCACTCGCCAGGCCCGGGCTCTGATGCACCATCGTCCGGGGCAGCTAAGACATTGCCTGCATCCCCGGGAGCCACAGTCAGGACCGAGAGCTGGGCTTGGGGACTCTCCCACAACCGGCCACCCTGACATGCCCGTAGCATCTGCGGAAGGGACTGAGCCTTCGGCAGTGGAGAAACGCCCACTGGCTCAGCTGGAAGAGGCAGGACTAGAATCTGACCCTGCGTCTCGGCCTCTCAGGCTTCCAGGTGGCTCAGTGGTAAGGAATCCACCTCCCGGGGCAGAAGACGCAGGAGGCCTGGGCTCAGTCCCTGGGTCGGGAAGATGCCCTGGAGAAGGGAATGGCTCCTCATTCCAGTGTTCTTCGAGGAGCACTCCATGGACAGAGGAGCCTGGCGGGCTTCAGTCGTCCTCGGAATCGTCAGAGTTAGACACAACTTAACGACCGAGCATGCACTTGGCCTCTCAGTCCTAGAACTAAGCTTCTCCTGGAAAGGAGCCTCTTTTATAGACGTTATAATTAATATCATGAAATTGAATTGTAAGCAATCCCTCTTGAGAAAAAAATAATTTCTTACATGTCATGTCATTATTGTGGAAGGCAAAAATAAAACTGTTAAACAAGAAACACTCTTTACTTGACAAGCCAGAAAATTTTAAAGTGTTAGGTTTAAAATCTGCTTAATTGAAAGATGGGCTGAAAATATAATGGGCTAAAAGATGGGAAAATAGAATGGGAGAAAGATGGGCTAAAAAAATAATTTTCATAAATAATGTGAGCCTTGCTATAATTTATTTATAAATACTCTTTTGCTTTGGGGACTTGAGAAGACTTTATTTTTTAAAGACTTGTGAAAATGAGGTCAAACGTACTTGGGCGAGCAAGGGGGTTGGGAACTAACTTGACGTAGTAACGAGTTCACTTGCACTGTATGTGCATCCGCCTTGCATACGTGTGCGTGTCCGTCCACGTGGGGGCCGCGGAAACGTGTAACAGCTGGAGGGCGTCTGAAGAGCCAGGAGTCCCCAAGGAGGGAAGGCGCAGGTCCTGTTTCCCCCAGGCCCCCGGCACTGCCTTCCGGGAGCAGGGCTTTGGGGCGGGCTGGGAGCCCGAGCCTGGGCCAGCCGGGTCCCTCGACGGGCCCTGCCCTCCCCTCCTGCTCCTCCAAGGGCCCAGGCCTGCCCCAGAGGGCTGGGGGTGGGAGGGTGTACTGCGCACAGCCGTGGCTCTTCCTGGCGGCCGTGACCTCTGTGGCGGGGCGGGCACAGGCCCAGCCTGGCGGGACCGGCTCTGGTGGCTGTGGCCCCCACAGCCTCTAGCGAGGTGAGCGCCACTGAGACACCGCTTGTCTGGATGGCCCTGGCAGCCTGCCCGGAAGCCCGGCCGCAGGAGCAGGGTGGGCCTCCCGATCCAGGTGAGCGAGGCTGGCCCCCACCCCAAGAGACCCCCTCTGAGACGAAGTGAGAGCGCCTCCTGGGGACGGGGTGCACCCCTCCCCTGGGTTTCCGTTAGGGTCCCAGAGAGAGCGGCTGATCTCAAACACAGCGAAGTTTCGGTTTCAGCCGGTGACAGGCGGGGACTCTGCACCAGCACAGCGCTGGGCTCCCTGGGCTCCGCCAGGCTCAGGCGGTGTAACCTGGGGTAAGTCACTGGCCTTCTCTGAGTCTTCTTTGTCATGTGACTCGCAGACCCATGGATTGAAGATGATAAGTGGGAAACATGGGGTCGATGGGGCTTCCCTGGTGGCTGAGTGGTAAACAGTTCGCTGGTCAATGCAGGAGATGCAAGAGGTGCCAGTTAGATTCAAGGGTTGGGAAGATCTCTTGCAGGAGAAAATGACAACCCACTCTGTATTCTTGCCTGGGAAATCCCACGGGCGGAGGAGCCTGGCAGGCTACAATCTATGGGGTCGCCAAGAGTCGGGCACGACTGAACGACTGAGCACGCAGCGGGGTCAGTGACCGTGAGGAGTCATCACCCAAGCCTCCCCGCTGGCCTGACCCCCTCCCAGCGGCCTCTTCCTGACTCCAGGGCCACCCTCCGTGGACTGGCCACCTGCCTGCCTCCTCCTGAGCCAGCCTCTGTTCCTGGTGGGAGCTTCACAGCCTGGGCAGAGGAGCCCGCTGGCTGGGGTCTGTTGTAACCCCCTCCCCACCCCAGCCTCCCTCCCTGCCCACGACCCTTGGATGCCCCGTCGGGGTGTGTCCTGGGGACCCCGCTCTGCTGGGCACACCGGCCAGAACGGGGACTGGGGGGTGGCCCCTCAGGTGGGCAGGCCCTTCCATCGCCTGCTGCTCACAGGCACCCCGGGTGTGAGGTCAGCGCTGCAGCCAACCTATCTGCCTTCTCCGCCATCAGAACTCACTGGGGGAACAGGCTTCCCCCGCCTCTTTCCCGGCCTGAGTAACATCACCCCTCCCTCCAGTAACGCTGAACTTTGGAGCTGGGACTCTCCCCAAAGCCTGAAACCAGCCTGATAGGCTCGCCTGGGCCCCCCTTCCTGTTTCCTTCACCATGAGGTTACAAGTTTTTCCAACAATTCCACACCTTAAGAGCCATTTACAAGAAAGGGATTGGAAAGGCCGTCTGGTCACATTCAGGCTTGCCTGGGCCGGGTAGGACACAACCCTGCCCCCTGGAACGGGGTGCCGTGCAGGCTGCATTCGTGGTGGTGAGGGGTCCAGACCCAGGGCGGGGAGCCGTGCTCCTCTCTGCACTCTTGCGCCCTGGGGTCAGAGTTTTACACTTGAAAGCGGCCCAGGAGGGAGCATCACTAGGATGGGAGAGACGAGCTGGGAGTCAGACTTTTAGGGGAAAGGAGGATGGCCTTCCTGGAGCAGGAGCCGGGCCTGGGGCAGCATGCCCCCCCAGAGCACTGTCCCGGGGCTCACAGGCCCCTCTCCCCCCACCCCCACACCCAGAGTTATGTCCTAGGCTTCCATCCTCTCCCTGGAGACTCTGGTCAGGAAGAGCGGGGTGACCGCCTTGTCCAGGTCACCCTGGGTCCTCCCAGTTTTAGCACTGAGCATCCCACATCCTGGAAAACCCCTCAGAGCTGGACAAACCAGGGGGGTTGGTCGCCACGAGGGGAGGCTCATGGACGTTCAAACTGCAGCCTCGGGACTCCCCTGGCGGAGTAGTGGTTAAGACTTTGCCTTCCAATGCAGGGAGTTGGGGAGCCAGGATCTCAGTTGCCTCCGGGCCTAAAAACCAAAACATAAAACAAACAATGTTGTGACAAATTCAAAACAGATTTTAAAAATGGTCCACATCAAAAAGTTATAGAACAAGCAAACAACTCCATCCCAGCCTTTAGCAACAGAGGAAGGCCCTCAAGCCTGCACTCCCTTTCCTCAAGGCCGGGGTGGCCTTCTCTTTTCTTCACTATGTTTGGTTATTCGCTGAGTCGTGTCTGACTCTTTGTGACCCTGCAGACTGCGGCCTGCCAGGCTCCTCTGTCAGTGGGATGTCCCAGGCAAGAATCCTGGAGTGGGTTGCCGTTTCCTCCTCCAGGGGATCTTCCCATCCCAGGAATTGAACCCATGTCTTCTCCAGGCAGATTCTCTACCATCTGAGACAATGGGAAGCCCACTTTCTTCACTGCAACGGCTCTACCGGCTTAGTGAGCAAAGACGAAAGCAAGCCCCCCACCGCCATCCCTCAGCAGGCATCTGCAAAGTCCTCTTTGGTGGGTGGGCGAGTCTACGCCCCTTGGAAGGAGCGCCCAGTCTAGTGGGGGGCCCCCGTGAGTGTGGTGGAGACTCACGCAGGGGTGCACGCGGAGAGGCTCCTGTCTTTCTTTCACCCCAGCCTGACTCTCTGAGCGCACCCCACCTCGCTGCCTGCCCAGCCTGGCTGGGCTCCCACGCTTACAAAGCGACCTGCACGTGGACGGCCGAGGGAGGCCGTGCATCCTCCGGCCCGACAGGCCCCTGAGAGCCCCTGGGCTCCCGGCGGGGAAGCCCGCGCCCCTCAGCCTGCCTGCTTGTCACAGCGGCTGTCAGCACAGACATCTCGGACGGGAGTCACCTCGGAAGAGCAGCGGCCGGAGAGAGGGGCGGGGAGGAAGGTGGAAACGTGTTCGACGCAAGCTCTGCTTCTGATAACGCGGAAGGCGCTTCCGCAGAGGGGCCTCTGGGGCTCCAAGGAAAGACCGTGCAAACCAGAACGTACGTGCTTCTCTGCCTCGGCAGTCTGAGGAGGCACTGCAGAGAAGGGGAAGGGCTTAGGGAAAAATGAAGCCACTTGCCAGCAGGAAAAATGAAGTGAAGAGTCCAGCAAACTGAGGTCTTATCAAGTCGGAAAACACCTAAACATCGCTAGACCCCCAAAGGAAGGGATGGAACTTTTTCAAAGCCCTTGAGTTGCAAAGAGCAGTGAAGTGTTTTTTATTTTGGGGATAGAGTGACTCAGCCTTGGGAGTAAGATCTTTTCTGCCCGAGCCTGGGAGCTCCGAGCACACTCCCATTAAGATGGCAGATCCGGGGAGGCATGGAGGTGAAGCAGCAAAGAAGGGACCAGACGTGTCTCAGGACGGAGGAGCCAGGCTCTGGGGAAGGGGTCGGGGCGTCTGGATCACTGCAGGGCTCACCAGCCCCCCAGGCCCTGTGGGACCATGACACGTTTGTATGACGTCACGGGCTGAGATCTGAAGTTGCGTATTAAACAGACAGCTGTCACTTACTTACGTTTACAGAGAGGTGGCCGGGGGAGGGGCAAAGAGCAGGGAGGCGAGAGGGGAGACCTGCAACCTCGCCCTTGCCCTAAATCCAGCTCTGGGCTCTGAGCCGACCTTCCTCCGGCAACTTCCTATCCATTTCTTCTGCCACCCTGGAGCTACTCAGCTTGGTCGTCATTGTCACAGTGACTAATCAACCATATGGGTGGAGGGGGGCGGCCAATTATCTGATTCCTGGAGCCTCGCAGGAGGCTGCAAGCCCCTCCACCCCCGCCGCCCCCTCCCCACTCCAGTGTGTGGCACACGTCCCAGCCAGGAAGGCAGGAGAGCTCGGAACCATCTGGAAGTGTCCATCTGTCCCAAGGGAATGAGCACAGCCCTCCCAGAGCCCTGCGCCTGCAAGAGAGCTGGCCTACATTTTAATTGGGGTTGAAATAGAAATCGTCAGAGTCTGGGGACGGAAGCGAGGTACAGCTCTCCAGTCCACGCTTTCAGGCTCAGCGAGGACCAGCGCCCCTGTAGCCCCGGATGGACACCCACTCGCTCCTGGCCCAGCGCCCCGTGGGCGGGGAACCCTGCTGCCCCCTTGGAGCACTTTGCAGTGAGGCCAGAGCAGCTGTCTGACCTCAGGCGCGCCCCTGCCTCTGCATTTGGCCCTGCCTCTCGGGAGAGCTCTTCCACCAGAGGGCCGGGTGCCCGGGGTCGCAGGATGTCCACGCTGTGTACCCACCACCCTCGGACAGGCCCCATCTACCAGTGGCCTAGACAGAGGAGCTGAGGACAGAGACATCTTCAGAAAATGAAACAGGAAGCCGTGCTCACCCGGCAGTCTGTGAGGTTCTCAGGGCGGCGGCCCCGTAACTGAGCAGGGCTTTCTGGGTCTGACAAGCGCGGGTGTCGTGAGAGGCCGGGGTGTGTCCTGGTTGCTTGGCTGATAACTCGTGTGACTCAGACAGAAACGTCCTCCCGTGAATTAGCTCCGCTCTGCCCTCCTGCAGCACTGCTGTCTCCTTCCAGACAAGCTCTGCTCTGACGGGCCAGAGACCCAGGGCTTTCATTTGCTTACCCTGAGATCATCCACAAGCGTACTTAGCCCTGAAGATAGAGTATTAGTGGGTTCCAAGCCCAGCTGTTCCTCAGAGCCACTTGGGGAGGCACTTAAAATAGAGATTCAGATGTGAAAACAACCTACATGCCCATCAGCAGATGAACGGATAAGATATGGTGGTGTTCAGTCGCTCAGTCATGTCTGACTCTTCAAAACCCCAGAGACTGCAGCACGCCAGGCTTCTCTGTCCTTCGCCAACTCCCGTAGTTTGCTTAAGCTCATGTCCATCGAGTTGGTGATGCCATCCAACCATCTCATCCTCTGTCATCCCCTTCTCTTTGTGCCTTCAATCTTTCCAGCATCAGGATCTTTTCCAATGAGTCGGCTCTTCACATCAGGTGGCCAGAGTATTGGAGCTTCAGCTTCAGCATCAGTCCTTCCAATGAATATTCAGGACTGATTTCATTTAGGATTGATTGGTTTGATCTCTTTGTAGTCCAAGAGACTCTGAAGAGCCTTCTCCAGCACCACAGTTCAAAAGCATCAATTCTTTGGCGCTCAGCCCTCTTTATGGTCCGACTCACATCCATGCACATCCTTTAGACAGCTAATAGTGAGAAGGTGACGACAGAGGATGAAGTGGTTGGATGGCATCACCGACTCGATGACCATGAGTTTGAGTAAGCTCTGGGAGTTGGTGACGGACAGGGAAGTCTGGTGTGCTGCGGTTCATGGGGTTGCAATAAGTCTGACATGATTGAGCAACTGAAATGGCGTCCTCCAGGGTGGGTCGCATGGTCTTCAGGGCATTAGCTCACTGTGGCCCCCTTTGCCTGGCAAAGCACTTAAAGCTACCCTTTTCCACTTCACCCCAAACTCTGTCTCCACGTTTCTGTTTGGCACCAGTGAACAGAGGCCGAGTTTCAGCAACAGCACGTCAAGAGGGATAAA